CGGATTCACCGGAAATCCTTCCGAAACTTGCTCTCTCTTTGGTTCACATATGAGTAGTCGCATTCATAGTTAGATTATTTAATCTTTCACCCGGATTCTCTTAGGTTTTTTTACTTATTTTTTTGGGCTTTTTTGAACTTATTACTTTGCCGAGCAGATTGTCACAAACATTTTCCAGCTTTTGGTATATAAAATTCACATTTTATCAAAAAAAAAAAGGTTCAATTACCTTCTTCTTTTCTTACTACAAAATTGTACTTGAAAAAGAATCTTGTTTTCAAAAAAGCATAATGAAAAGTGAATTTTTTTCTCATAATTACTAGCTTTAAATCGTAGTATAATCTTCTTTCTTTTTCTGCATATTCAAGTACCTGATTTATTTTGACTTTGAGGGTAACATGAGAAGACGGAACCGACGGTTTCTTCTCGCCCGACCCCGACATCTTCACTTTTTCCTGTGACGATTGAAATGTTCTCAGTTGAGTGGAGTAGTATATATACACACGTATGAACAGAATGAAGTGAAGATAATGGTACAATGAATCATTGGAACCACTCTATATTCATGCCTTTTAGTTTTCTGTTCCCGTTTGATTTTTCTTTTCTTACATGTAGTTTTGATTATCACAAAAATTTATGCACCATTTCTAATTTTTCTTACTTTGACCGACGGGAAATTTTTAAATTTATTTCACATCTTATTAAAAAAGGGGATAAAATTATAAAATCTACACTCTTTACAAAACGTTCACATATTTTGTTTTCACATTCAGAGGATCAGAAACGGTCTCTGGTAGAATGGAGCATGGGCCCAGTAAAAGCCCATCGATATAACCCCAACAAACATGTGTTTGGATTGTGTAACAGCAAATCAACAATTAAGGGCAACTTGAACAAAAAAAGGTTTGTAAAATTTCCATTCATTAAGAACAACTTTGGTTTTGAGCTAATTGACTCATCTATTTTCGTAGAAACTGAAGAGGAAATTGACTCATTCATTATTATGTGTTTGATGTAATAAAAAGAAAAACAAAAGGACCACAAACACACCATAATATAGTTTTAAATCAAGGAAATAAAGCACCATAAAATTAAACCCAAAAAAACACCCATGAGAAACATATATATAGACACAACAGTAACTGTTTTTTTTTTTCTCCTTTTTTTTTTTTCCTTTCTTTCTGGTTTTCCAATAAAGTGGCAACACGATTTTACAGCAATTTATAAAAGAACAAAGAAGGAATCATAATCGTGATACTAAAAAGGGAGGCTCCAAATCATCTTAGGAACTC